AATTCCTGCTGAGTGCTGGGCTTGGTGCCGAGTGCCTCTATTAAGCCTGATAATTGTGGGAGAATAGACATCGTATTTGTTTTATTTTTCCATTTTTGGTCCATTAAAGAAAAAACACAGACGGGAAGCGATTAAAATAATGGTGCTAGGCTCATAATAAAGTATTCTTTCCTTTGCGTGATGGCTGTTCTCTGTGATAGGGGATCTTTATTGTTACTCAGATGAGAAATAAAAACTTTGTATTGCGTGATCCTTAGGCCGTGGGGTTTTTAAGCCTTATTGTCCTTTATTACTCAAGATGGTTTATTATTTGGGCTGGCTTTCTTTACTGTGAGTGTTTGTGTGGGATTCAGAAGCACGTCCAGGGCAAAGACAAACTGGAGATCATTATTATCTGTTTCACTTCACATGTTCTCTGTTTTCCGCACTATAAGGCGCACTTAAAATCCTTTAATTTTCTCAAAAATCGACAGTGCGCCTTATGTATGAATTCTGGTTGTGCTCACTGACCTCGAACCGATTTATGTGGTAAACAGTGCTCAAAAATGGCTACCGTAGTCAGGAGCCTCGCGGAGTAATCTGGGTCCAAAACTCCGTCTTCTTCAGGTCCCAAAGTCAAACGAACACTGCAGCATCACTGTTCAAAAAAGCCTAAATTCTATAATCTTTAATAAAACGATCAGTATTGCTGCTTTACCAGGTGTAACAATTAAGTTTATCATCTAGGCATCGATGAAAACAGAATGCCTTAAATTTAACTGAGTTAAGTTAGCAGGAAGTTAGCTCGCTAGTTTCCGCTAACTTGATATAGCATGTTCTGACTGAGAGATTTCTGAAAAAATTCAAACGTACAGCTCTGCTATCACTTCCAACATAAATGAAGACAGAAAACTAAACAGCAATGACGTTTGTAGGGTTACTGAAGTTGGGCTAGCGGGTACATAATGATGGGCTACGTGACCGCTAGCGACACAGCTATATTAGCATAACATAAACACAGTGAAGCTGGAGGATGAACGCTAACTTTTTTCTACTCGATAAAAGTTAACGTGAGGGTTCCCGATGGTTAGGGACCAATGCAATCGCATGGCAGGATGCTGTAAATGGACCAAACTTCAGTCAGGAGAACAACTGAGGTAATCCATCCACAATACGAGGTTAGTCATTCAAATTTGTAAAATTTGACTTAACTGATTGTGTTTTGTTTTGCTTAGTGTGCCTTATAATCCGGTGCTCCTTATGGTCCGAAAAATACACATTTATTTATGACCTTACATTTAATTATTTTCTATCATTTATGCACCAAGAGCAACATTAAATAAAAACTTGAGTAACCAGCCTTTGAATGTGGCATTATATCAAACCAAGCAGCAATCTCCACAGGCTTTAAAATTAAGCAACTGCAATTCCTTTAGCAGCCACTTGGGGCTAGCTTGAAAAGTGAGTCAGTGCTATGAAATTAGCGTGTTTGATGCTGTGTACAAGTAACAGTTATGCCAAACTTCACAAGAACTGGACTGAAAAATCAGTGTAAACAGGTCTGATGCAGAGATTAATCAACTTTGAATGTTTTGATGTAAGTCATCAGTATGTACAGAGGAGATCAGGAGAAAGAGGCTACAGTGGGTGTCTGAATCCATCTGTAAAACACGGTGGAGGCACTGTCATAGTTTGGGGCTAGTTATCAATCTGTGGTGTTGTGGATCTTCTTAACACTCATGAAATTATGAACTCGGAAAAGTAACATCAGATTTTGATCCATCTGGAAAGCATCTGATTAGCAGCAGCTTTATTTTTCAGCATGACAATGATTCCAAACACACCGTCAATGCAGTAACAGCATGCCTGGATACAAAAAGAAGAAACACATTTGAACACTAACAGTCATGGACTGCCTTCACTAGAGCCAGGCCTCCTATTTTTAATATGAATAAAGCCATGGGTCTTGGTAATTAGCATCATTGGTTATAAATCCAGTGAGCTGTTGTTGCATGTCGGATACTTTTCTCTCCAAATGAAGATGCGAGCTCATGACTCATCTGGTCGAGTGAAAAGGAAGTGATGCTGCGGACCTCTCCGTTTCCTCCACTGGCTTTTCAGCAGTCTTTGACATGTACATATGCATCCTCTAATCTGTCATTAATCTTATTTTTGGTGCAAACCCTTCACCATATTGGTTACGACAGAAACAACACGTTAAACAATAATTCTTGTATATTAATGACTTCATTAATATAGAGACTTTTTTGTGTGAAATGTATACTTTGAAGTCATTATAAGCAGCTGATATTCAGAAGAACTGGGGAATAAAAAGCACATTTTCAGATGGTTCAGGAACAAGCTGTAATATACTGAATATTACACTTTTTAAAATAAACCGGTGTTCGGCAATCACACAGGTGAAATTGTTTCTCTGAAGAGTCACAGATAATTTCACATGAGTAGAAATTTCAGACGATTAACTTTTGTAAGAGACTCCTCCTTATTTTCTTCCTGCATGATTACTAAACGACTACAGGAAGGACAATTTACGGCAAAAGAGTTTAGTTACTGATGAAAACCGCAGACAGAACTGCTGATATCAAGCTTATACGCCTTCCTATGAGCTACTCATTAAAATGTAGAAGAAAGAGCACCTCAAAAAACTAAAAAAAATTACCTTGGACTTCCTATTTTCTTATTTTTCAGTAAGAGATAATAGCCTTGCAGATTCAAACTGTAATGTCAAAGTAGCAATCATTATTAGACTGTACTTGTCTCTTAGAGGGGGATTGCTTTCAGGCACTAAGTGTGATGTTTGCTGCTTTAATCCATTTTGTCTTGGAAAAAATAAAGTAAAACTTAAAGCTTAATGAGTGGAAAACAAGCACGTTTTGCTGATATTTATTTAATCAAAGTTCAGTCCTGATATTTTCTTGTTTTTCTGTTATGGATTAAAATTGTGATGTGTTTTTTTTTAAGCTTAAGGCAAAAGAATACATCTTTTTTTAAAAATGTTACCAGGACATCTTCTCCACTGCTTCGATTTTGATCAGTTCTAAATCTCAACTTTATGAACTAAATCCAGAGTTCAATTTTAAAGGGATTTCCATTCCTTTTACACATAAAGGTCAGTTTAGTCATGAGGATAGTCACTCAGACTGAAAATCTGATGTATAATATCCTTGGGGGTACTTCCTCAGGCCTCAAAACAACGCAGCAACCAAACTTTAATCATCTCGTGGATTGTGTCGTGCAGGATTCGTGCAGGCTTATTGTGTGCATGTTTTCAAAAGGCCCATAGATCAACCCACTGATCTGTCCACCAAAGTTTGTGGAAAATTAGAATTGAAAACTGCAAATAGTGAGAGTTTGCTCGAGAAGAGGAACCTGAAAAAATGAAAATAATATGGAATCCAGCATTATTTAGGCTGAATCCACCCTTCTTCTCACAAGAATTGCTATTTCTCTGAGTGTACTGGTCAGATTTTAATGAAACCTAATAACGTGAATACGATTTATGCTGATGTTAAAATAAAATATCCAAACTGCTGCTCAGCTACTTCAAGGACTTCAGTTTAAACTTTTATCTCAGGAGGAGTCGGCAGTGTGAACAGTTCCGTCTCCAGAGGAGGTCAAAGACGACTTGCTTGAGGTTTTAACTTCTTCTTTGTGTTCGTACCGCATTTGATTCAGGAAACACTTTAGGTCCTTTCACTTCATGAAGCGGGCACCCACATGGTGCGGTGTTGTCCTGCTTTGGTCATTGAATGAGTGGCCTTTACATCTCCTGCTCTCTCTAAGCCTCATTGATTTGCTCTTCAAAGAAATAAAACATTTCTTTTTTTAGTAAGTTCCCTTCAGCATTCCTCAGCAACCTTCCAGCTGATGTGGCACTGCGCTGGATCTCTCAGGCACTACAGATTTTATGCAATGATTAAAAGTGTAAGAAGCAGCATGCAGAAGATTTTTTGCAGATTTCCAGGTTTCAGTAAGACATGTTAATGGTCTTCATGGTCTATTCTCATCCTCAGAGCATGCAGCTTTTACATTTTTGTGATTTTGCATATTTACATGCTAGTTTAGCAACATATTCAGAGATTTCCCTTTTACTGGATTATTGGATATCATTTTTCTTCCAGAGAGCAAATCATAATCTTTTGGATCACCTCCATAAAAAGCACCTTTCAGAGTATTCACAGACGGCCCCGTAGTTGGCTCTTTCCCCCCGTGTTTCATTTACACTGCAGTAATGTTCCAACAGCTTTGACAGCATGAATGAGCAACTTTGAGCACCTAAATAAAAACAATTGAAGTAACTGCATTAGTTGCTGGATTGTAGCTTGTTGTCTCACTGAGTATGGTGAATTTTACACTTTCCATCAAAAGAGCTCTTCAAACTTTTCTGAGACTATTAGACTGAAACAATTTAAAATGTTCCTTCAGACAAACGGTTGTATGAATTTTCAGTGCAGCCTATTTACACTTCATTGGTCTTTTTGACACATTGATCTACTCCGGCACAGTATGTGGCGGTAATGCAGAAGAATAGGCAAAATGACACCATATGACTCAGGGGACAGTAAGACTGCAAAACAGTGTAGTATGAATAAGATTTGAGTCATTCTGTTGCTGATTTACTGCTTGGTAAAAGGGATCCTAGCTCTGTTCCTGCTTTCACTCATCAGTAGACATAAAGTAAGCAAATGGATTTAATGTGGTACTGACTGTGATATAATTAAAATGCGGCAGGGTTCCGATAATTCAAATTTATAATGTTGCTGCAGGAAACATCCCAAAAATTTCAGAATTTTCAAAAAGTATCCCCTCCAAAAAGAGGTGTAAAATAATTCCAGTTTAATATAATTTAATGCTGCAATGCCCTGAGCTCCTTTAAAGATCCCTAATTTTTGGGAAATCTTCACCGGTGGAAATTTGACTGTCAAAAACAGGAGTAGTGTCCAAAACAAGGAAGTGCTAAATGTCATTTTTATTACCATGATTCTTCTTTTCTTTCACAGGGGCTCAAGCCAATGGACCACAATGGGCTGTCAGATCCCTACGTCAAGTTGCACCTACTGCCAGGCGCCAGCAAGGTGTGTTTTTTTGTTTTTTGTCTGTTTCCTTTAAAACAACAGGCTTGCACATTTGTCACCACACAGCCTGGTCAGTATTGAGTTTGCTTGTTCTTCACTGGACTTCCTTTTTCAGGTTTGCATGCAAACACTAGCTCGCCTACACATACTGCATCTGTAATCATAATATCTCATTTGTTAATTCTGTACACAAAGAAAAGAAAAAAACATTCGTCACAAGTATAGAGTACCCTGACATCACCCGTTAGCTTTGGGCCTGTCGTTTTCAGGGCTTGGAGCCGCCTTACCCCTGCACTCTCAGGTCATGTGACCAGTTGCTACTACATATACAGCAATCTAAGTTGAAGCTCAGGTGGGACTGAGCATTCTTTATTGGTGCGCCTAGGTTATGGAATCAATTGTCTGTGCACATTAGACAGTCACCTACATTCTCCTTTTTTAAAAACTAGTCTTAAAACACACTTGCACTCTCTGACTTTTGACCCAGCATGTGACAATGGTCTTACTTGTTTCTGTTGTTTTATTGTGGTTTGTTTCTGCTTTTATTTTATTATTGTTGTTTTTATTCTTCATCGTTGAAATGGATTTATTCGTTTTTATTTACAGCACTTTGCTTTTAAAGCACTGTGTAAATAGAGTTGGTATGGTACAGGATTTCTCTAAATCTTTGAAAGGGAATGTGAGTTAAGATCTCAAAGAAATTTAACAAATCGTTCTTTTTCTGCATAAAATGTTTGTTTTACAGACGTTTATCGAGAGATCTTTGTTTTTATGAAACTGTTCATTCAAGCATTCAGGATAAAGTGGCATTAGAGCATAAAACTTAATAACACATAAAGGAACAAAAATATACTCCCTATAAAAAAGTCACAAGTAATTAGCAAAGGGATGTAAAATGTTGCCTCTATAACATAGTCGCACTGCAATACTATATATGAATACTTCTCAAAATGCAAATCCCTCTAGGTCACAATTTAACGTTTGCAAACACACAAAGGAAGAGATAACACGAGCAAGCAGAAGAAGTTGTGATGAGAAAGAATAAAAAGAGATTAACAATGACCACTCTCTGCATTTCAAGAATTACAGAAACAGATTTTTTTTACACTCTAAGCCGATCACGCTTTTACACGAGCTTTGATGGGTCAGCAGTGTTCCCTACTGCACATACAGTCTGTCCTGAGGCATTCTTGTGGTTTTCTCAGACCCGCAATAAAAGGAGACGAGGTCTAATAATCTATTTCATGATTCATGGAGCACCGCAGTGTAGATATGTCAGCGCAAGGCTTCATCAGTGTAAACATTAACTGACTGACCTAACGTACCCGCTTACCAGTGACGTGCTCTGCTTTTAAAGCTCTTGCTGATCTGCTCAGAGTCGCGGAAGCACTCGTACAGGCGTAAGATTTAAGTTTTAAACTGTTGCAGAAAAGCTGTTGGAGCTCTCACAGTTTGCAGACAAAATGATCTCAAACCCATACATATAAATTAAAGACTGAAATGTTTCAACACATGAAATGACTCACCGGTTGTTTGTGAGAACTGGTGACTTCTTTAACTCTCTTGCACCTCACAGTCGTCCTTGAGGGTGACGTAATCCTTTCATTAAAACTATCAAATCTTATATAGATCCTGTGAATACGTACATTCTACAAAAGCAGCTTAATGAAAGCCAAAGCTGTGATTATCCAGCTATCTGACTCACATCTTCCTTTCTTACAATACCTTTTCAAACTCATCTCTGTTGAAATGACCTTTGTAATTGGCTCTGCTCTTGCTGCGTAACTTCAGCTTTGATTTCACTCTGCTGTTACGTTTGTAGTTATGTCTGTGTGAAAGAAGGAACAATGTGAACTTGGATGAAGCTCATGACCTGGTCCTTTGGGGGATTCTGCAGAAGTTTAGGGCCATCAGATCTGTGTCTCAGTCCTTGACACAATGTCAAAAACTATTTTGGTTCTGGCTTCTGCTCAGGAGGTAGAGCAGGTCATCTACTAATCATAAGGTTTGTCACTTGATCTCTGGCTGCTCCAGTCTGCATGCCAAAGTATCCTTGGATATGTGATAGGTGAACAGTGGGAATGTTAAATAGAAAAGTGCTTAGGAATGGGGAAGTTGTAAAAAAATAACTGTGAGGGCTCCAGTAGAGTAGAAAATAAAGGTGCAGTCCATTTTGTGGGTACTGGAATTTGTCACTGTTGCCGCTTGTCCCCAATCCTGTTTGTGATATGCAGGAACTCCAGTTAGTTTCCACTTTGGGGTGAGAGTCAGCACCTCCAACTCTGGGGCTATGGTCCACTGCAGGAGAGCAGTGGATGCTTGCTCTGTGTTGGGTGGGAGGTTTCTGGATGATGGATGTAGAAGCTGAAATGAGTTTCCTTTGTAGAGCTGCTGGTTTCAGCCTTTGAGGCATCTCAAGGTCCACTTGGGTGCAAATGACGTAAGTTTTAGTATCACAGTGAGGCAGATAATGCCCATAGATACATCCCAAGTTTTTGTGACCATGTGGATTTGACAATGAGATATTAGCTTACACTTCGCCAATAACGCATGCACCCTTCAGGTGGAGTTCAAGCAGATTTCAAAGAGCTGCAAAGCAAATAAATACTCATTCAATTCAATTCAATTTATTTATACAGCGCCAAATCACAACATCAATCACCTCAAGGTGCTTTATATTGTAAGGTAGACCCTACAATAGTACATACATCCATGCTGTGTACAGTTGTCTGTATCTGCAAGTATAAGCACCACTTTGGACATATAGTGAGGTGCTCACAGTCATCAAAAGGAGTAAGCTGAGGAGGTTTATGCTTTTGATCTGGATCATGGGCACTTCCTCTTGGAGGTTTTCTGGGTCGGCCCCACTGGGGGGAGACCCCAAAGTGAGCCCGGAGGTTTCTGGCCCATTGGGATCTGCCAGGAAGAACTGGACAACATAAAATATCTGGTTAGCATGGTGCTAACGTGATCATACTTTAGACAAGCAGGGATGGATGACTAGATGGATGGTTTATGGATGGAGTTATATGAAAAAAGTCATAAATAGCCATGTAGCTATTGTACCACCAGTAGTTAGAGGAACACTACTTAACTATTGTTTCCATCAGGTGTTGATTTCCTGGGAAAATTCTGTACTTTCTGATATTTAAAGTACCATGAAAGACGAAAACACAGAGCTGACACACAACTGTATTGAGTTTGCTCAGTAACAATGAGAAACTGTAAACGATGAACGACTTCTCATCTTCCTCCTATAATGGTCAAAAAATAATCAAAATCTAAACACATGAAAAAGCATCTTAGGGCTTCAACACATAAGATTCAGTGGCACCAGGGTAAGGGCATGTTGTGAACTCCTATATCCGGCTGTCGGTGGACATTTTTGACGAGTTACTTTTGAACTTGTCTTGGGAGCTTTTCGGGCTCAGTTTTCATCAGTGTAAGATTTGTTTTGTCAGCTTCAGCATTAGTTGAGCTCTGCTGTGCTTTGAGTTGATTTCTAAAGTTGATTGATAGTTCAAACTTTGTGCTTTCCACTTTGTGTTACACAGCACGATTTATTGAAGTGTGCAGGAGCTACTTTAGTGTCGCATCATATGGCCTCCTGCAGTCTGCAGACCGTCGAAGAAGTTTGTACCTTAATGAGAGTTAATTACAGTCACTGACAGTCACTCCTGTTCAGAGGTTTTCTTTGGAAAGGACCACACTGACAGATAATTTAAATTCTGTTACAGACATGTTGTAGGCATTTTACCAGAAGATAAGAAAGAACTTTTTGTTTCTAAATGTTGATTCATACCTCTTGCAATGTTGCAATGAAAAGATTACTTATAGCTACTTATAGCAAGATCTCACCTAAATGCTGCATCAACTTTTATATTAGTCTACATCTTACAAACTATCTGGGATAATCACTGTATAGACCAGTGATAAGCACATTTGGAAATCTGAGAAGTAAAGCCAAAGCAGCAGTTACTAATTATTCTCTTCAGTGGTTGCCAGTTCAGTGACTCTTTTCCAGTCATTTTGAATAAAGCTTTGGTCATTTAGTGTCAGAAAGGAGGGTGTGCTCATTGGCTAATGACTTGTGATTGACAAGTTGTTAGCCAATCAACGTGCAGTGTCCCAGATACACCCTTTACTCAATGTCTCCTGTTTCAAAACCTCAATGAAGCTTTATTACGGTACTTCACTAACCAATGACATCATAATAACTAAGTCCATGTTTTATAACAGGGACTGTTGTGGAAGGCCATGCACATGCACAGGGTCCTCCACAACAGTCCCAGTTTTCCATGCAGCCTCTTAGGGAAAATTAATTACCCATCCCTGTTTTATAGTGTACATGACGCGTGCATTGTCAGGTTTGACATTTTTTTTTAACTCGGCTTGTATTATTTTCTATTATTAGACATGAGTCAGAATTGCATTGCTGAAAAAAGAAAAGATTGCACTTATAGTTATTATTTATGAGCAAACATATATTTTACGTGAGTAAATGAACAATAAATGATATGAGGCAGTGAGCTACACTGTGGTCATTAATCATCTCCATCAGCACAGGATTGTTTCAGCATATCATATCAATAGTGGAGAAGCACGAAATGCTTTCAGCATCCTAAAATGCAAATGTCTGCTGTTAGCTTAATGTAACATGTATGCTAAACATGTCTGAATTTCCACTGAAGGCTACTGTACACAGAGGAGAGAACAGCTCTGCTTTTCTATTTGCTTATGAAATGTTTTCATTATGAAAGTGTAAAGGACTATTTTTTCTTGTTTGTCAGAGCTCAGGAGAGTCATGCCTACAGGGGTGTCAGCGCCTCTGAAACTGGATTTGTGAAATTTTGGAGGAGTCTCTAAATTACTGACAATGCGCTGTCTTTTGTCCATGCACTACTTTTCTGCATCTTCCTTTTGTATTGATAATGAATACAATTAGGTTGTTATCAGTGTATGACTCATGCATGAGGGTGATTCATCACTAATTTACTAAT